AAGAGCACATTGAAGGAAACTTTTAACAGTCCAGACTCGAAATACACTTACTTCTGTAACATTTACATAACTGTACGTTTAGGAGGAAATAAACCTATCTGCAGTACAGAATATTCACCAAGGCAAGATTGTTTAAATAATTCTGCATTTCTAATTTCATGTCTGCTTCTGATGGTTACACAGATGTTCTAGAAATTCATCAACTGCATCTCCTCTTTTGCACACACAGAAAAGAGGAAGCGGAACCCTCACCACCAACTTCTCTTCATATCAAAATTGCTTGCAGAGCTCTACCCCGCTGAGTTATTTTCTTCAGCAACCAGACTAATTAATGTAGCACACTGACAGATGGTAAAACCTTAGATCTCAAAAGCTAGTAATAGGGGCAAACTGGCACAGTTCAAAACCTTTACAGGTCAGTCATCTTTACACTAGAGCTGCCTCAGATGGTTATCAGGGATACCCCACATTGTAGCTTCCTTCAAAAAATTATAAAAAATGAACTATAGAGAATATTCTCTATGATATGAAAGCTGTAAAGAAGCCATGAAGAATACAGCAATACAGGGCAATCTGGGGATGAAGGAATCCAATCAAGCAGCCATTCAATTAGTGTTGTGAACAGGGGCATGAGCCTAGGGAGCAAATCAACACAGCAGAGAGCGAGTGCATTGCAAAGGCAGATGTAAATAACCAAACCCAACACCTCACTCCCATAAGCCTCCAAACTAATACAACATGCTTCAGTAAGATTAATTAGCGAGGAAGAAAGAAGCAGAGATGAATAAATGAATGAAGATTTATTTAATCTTAATGAATTTTAAGATTAAATTCATGAAGTATGTAATGAATTCTTCAGATATGTGCAAACTAGGGGGAGAGGGGGCACCTGGGCCCATTCTGGACACAGCCTAGAGCTTACTCCAACCCATAAAACAGCACCTTGGAGGAGAGTTGAAGGCAGGAAGGGATTCAGCTAAAGAAGCTGAGAAGTATGAAAAATTATTCTACATAGCAGTACCAGTTATATTTCAAGCTTGCATTAGATTCCTTTGAAACTTTTCATTTGCAATTACCTTTTCAATTTTGTAAAGAAGAATTTACCCCTTTGCTGAAAGAAAATTCCTGTTTTTCATTTTGAGATTGATGAGTAAGATAGTCTGAAATGGAACTGAAACCGTTCTGCTTTCCTCAGTGCAGCAAATCTGAATAACAAATTACAGAAAACTCTGAGATATCTGTGACCCAAGACAAGATCAGGGGTCATGAATGTTTCTCAATAAGCCGCAAGAGTCTGCTTGTCAGCTGATACTGTCTTGTCTTCAGGTTAAAAAAGAAGTTCCCATTGCTGGGCATTAATCCATGAAAATGAATAGACTAAGGCACTTGTTGATAGAACAATAGTATCACAATTATGCAAACCACTGGCAGTTTTACTTCCAATATAATCCATGAAAAAACTTTGCTGCATGGACAAAATCAAATACACCATCAGCTTTCATCAGAA